TCTTAGCTTATGTTTTCAATTATTCATTGACATGTCTGTTGCAGATTTTTGGATGTTCAAGCGTGGTGTACATTAAGTATTTACCGTTGAGATGTCGTGGATGTTTATGATATTATTTATGGTGCCAACACACTTACATTACCGAACGACGCTTTGTGTCTTCAGCAGGTAAAAGGTTTCGGTTTATTAACGCATCTTTGTAATCATAAAATCATAATGGCGTGTGAAAATTATTTGGCCAAATGCTTATATGAAACGCATAGCATCAAATGTCAACAGAACCTTGAGTTTTTGTTTCGTGAGAAACACGAAGGAGGGAGGAAATATTTTTAATTTTTGTTTTGATTTCACAAATTTTTCCGCAGTAATACAGAAGAATGAATGTAATGCATACGGTGTAAATATTTTAATTGCAAAAAATTTCCAGATATTTTTTCATATTTGGACTAAGGTAAACATTTAAACTTCAATCCTACTTCTGATTTTTGAGCAGCGGCTTTGTGTTAGTTCCAGTCGGGCACAACTTTTTATGCATTTTTACTCCAAATCAATATTTCCATACACATAATGAGTCCGGTTTTTCCAACTCCAACTCGGGTAATTTAGCAGTAAAGCACTAATGAGAGTTGGCACCAGAGAAGAACAAGCTTAACCATATATCTAATAAAGGTGTCGATGTCAAGTAAATATTCCTATATAACACTTAAAATTGTCATCATATCTGAGTTCATATAGATTGGAAATTCCTACCTTTCCATATATAGCATACCTACCTTTACATAGGTATATACATATTTACATACATTTATATATATATATATTATATGTTGACAGCCGCAAAACAATATAAGCTTTCGTCTTTTCACCCTCGTTACAGATACATTTACTCCCCCTTCAACGACAAGAATACACTAAGGTATACTTCGCAACTCAAGTTTGTAAAAGTTTCTGAACATTTTGAATTTTTTTACGTATTGTAAATTAACTAAATTATATGCATAACTTTACATATACTTGTAGTACAAGTATGTATGTACATACATATACACAACTTCTAACGAATTCAAAATTTCAAATGTATATGTCGAAGTACTTTTGCAATAAGCTTGAAATGACCTTAATTATCTAAGAAAACTTTCATATTTTCCACAATTTGCTTTTTCTGCCGGGGATTGCGAACTAAGTCTGAAAAAAATCATAAATCCCTTCATAAACACACTCCACCTACTGTAGAGTACTTTGCTCCAACACACCACTAGTCACATACCAAAACCACTTGACTTCCTATCACCAAAGACTTCATGTACAAATGTGATTCGATAGTCAAAAAATATTCCTCCCACATATTCGGCAAAATTGGAATAACGTTCTGATCGTACATAAGAGAAACCACTGATCGAAAATTTCTCTCACCTTGCTAATTTTTTTCTCAGATGATGCTGCCTCGGAAATTTCTTCTGTTATGTCACCTCCCTATATACTATATTAGGTACATTTAATATGTAACACTATGTATTTACTATATGTACCAGCCATTTTCAAAAACTCCACTTCGCATGAAAACTGTGATTTTACTTTATCCGGCCGTCAGCTCCTGCTGTTAGTGCTGCATTCTTTTAAACACCAATGTAAATACCTTTAACTGCGTACGAAAGAGAGCAGGTGCCAGCTGAGTTAATTGCTTTTTCGAATTATGCAACGCCGTATAAATCATACACACAGAAACCGAGGCTAAGTTGCACCACAGCCAAGCCCCAGTACTGCTTAGTGACAGGAGGCAGCAGAGAGTCTTAGTAATTGGCTACTGTTGTATGTACTATAAAACACAAAAACAATATATGGATAAGTGCTATGCACATACGCACTCAGTAAACAAGAGTTTCCGACCTTATTGGTATAGAAAGGACGCGTAAAGGTGTTGGTACGGAAAGTTGAGTGTTTCCGTCTGGAATGTAAAAATATGCGCTGCAAATGAGTGCAAGCCTTTAGAAGAAACATAGATCAACATTTCTGCAATTAAAGTGCACTTGCAGCAAAAACTAACAACTTATGTGGGTGAAAGCAAATGCAAAGTCAGGAATAAGGGGTGTCTGTAAGAAGAGGCAAGGCAGCAAAAATATATATGCAGTTTAGGTGGGAACAGAAATATATGCAGGCTAATATTCTTATAAAAGGTGTCCCAAATTAACGCAAGATTTAAATTTGCTGCCATTTATGTAGTAAAATATTGACAACCCTAAAAATTAACAAATTGAATCTACCATGAACTCATATACCTTTTAATCTCAAAAGCGAATACATATACATATATAAACTTGAACAAAGATTGCCACTATTTACGTTTTCACCTATAAACCACAAAATGTCTGTTCATCCTTTCGGAGTTGCGGTTGAGTCAAAAAGAAAAATCTCCTCTGTAACTTAATCTAATGCGTTAATCAATCTTATTGTATTTGATATTGTCAAGAACTACAGGGCGCGGGTGGAACATTTATTCGAAGGTCACACAAGAATATTTTGATTCCAAAAAACACATGCCGACGATAGTCAGACCCGAAACAAACATGGGGAAAGGACTTCGAACTGTAGATGAGTTTTTCGAGTACTTGTTTGCGCACTATGCATCATGAGTTCGATCACAGAAAAATCTAAAGGTTTTTCAATAACATTTTTGATATGAAAAATTTAGTTGTAAAATGATGTGTCTAAAAGCCGCTAAAATTTTGTAATATCTTCGCTTGAATAAAGTTCCACTATTTGGAAGATGAAGAAGAATGCGTTTACATATATTTTAAGCAGAAAAATTACATTAGTTACCACCATTCACGTAAGAAGCAACGTGTTTATCCATGAGAATGTGTTAATGAAGTGTTTAAAAAATTATGAGAAAATTTTTTTGTTTTTTAGTGTGAAAGGAAGGTTGTTATCAAATTCGATTTGATATCCATCGAACAAATGGCCATACGATATATTTCCTTTTGATATTGTCACTTTTTGCGGAACCCATATTTACACCGTAGCAAAATCACAAATCGATACTTCTCTTAAAGCACTGGGGAAAGCTTGGCAGAGCTGATGGGGCCTATAAGACTCGTGCATTTTCGCTTTAACATTCTCAGCTTTTGCACATATGTTTAGTTGATAAATATTCGCAATTTGAATAAACACTTGCGACTTTTACAAATTTATGCTTGTGACACAGAAATTCAATAAAGGGAAGCCATCAAACGTAAGGTGCCGGAAGAAAGCAAATAAAAACTCAAATTGAATATTTTACAAACACACACACACAAGCATAAGTGGATTGAAGCAAGTAAACCAAAGTAAAAAGAAAATAAAATGGGAAATTCAAATTTGCTTTCACTTTGAACAAGGCAAATAGAATGGAAAACTGTATCTGCATAAATCTAGCTGCCTTGCATTATACTTTATCTCTAACAAAACTCTTTGATCAGCATGTGTAGCACTTAATGCTAATGGTAAAATACCAGCTCCGATCAATTTTTAATTTTTAATAACAGTTGTCAATTTGTTAATAAGATTGCTGCAACTCCAAGGCTTTGTTGGCACACGTGCTCTCAAGCTCAGGGAACCACATTTATTTACGAATATCTAAGTAGGAATACGGAATAAATATGTATAGATACACGTACCATATGTTTGTATCATGTGTTGCGAGGCGTTATAATGGAGAAGAGCTGAATTATAAATGAGCCGCAAAGTGGCAAAACATCAAGCACGAAAATTGCGCTCTTGCAACACGAGCCAAAAAAAAAACTGGAACGGCAAAAACAATCAACAGTTAGGAAACAAAGCAAGGAAGGACGAAAGGAAATAAGTCGACAAGTTGGAGTAGTTATTCCGGCAACAACACTAAATGCAAATCAACTGCAGACCGGAAGTGATGTTAGCACTTCAAAACACTGCCGACCACACAGACACTGTAACTGCTACGGCGGTTCTAGTACATCGGAACTTTTAGTGAACTACAACTGTACTATTATCTTTCTATGTGTGTGTATTGAAGAGCAACAGTAGTAAAGTTGGCAGCCAAATGTGGACTGAATGCAACAACACTATCAACACAGCAGTACTTAGCTAAGTGGCAAAGAGGTTAAAACGGTAAAGCAATGCTAAGACCATACAGTGTGGGTATGGTGTACTGGGCAGGCGTCCAAAATGTCTAGCAACAAAGTCGATGCGCAGAAAAAGCACCATTTCATGGAAATTATTACGCCAAAAAGACACGCAGACATTTGCTACTTCATAGACCAAAAAACTTTAAGAAAAGCAATTCATAACAAATGCACCACGCCTCGTCATGCTAGGCATTCATTGCAGCGTCAAGTGCGCTCGGCACAAGGTAGTTTTTAAATCTTCACGTTTCTTTTTTCTTTGGCCTTCATCCGCTCGCTGTGGTAGTATGTATATGTACTGTGGGGAATATACAATGCTGGCGTTGTACGTTTAAGATTCAGAATTTATTCACTCGACCGAAAAACAAGAAAATCGTATAGGAAACCCGACTGGAAAAGTTTAAGACGCGCTTGAGAATAAGTTCTTCTACTACTTATACATTTCAGAAATGGAATGAAGAAACGGAATGCGTAATGACTCCGAAAGTTTTAAGCGCTTGTATTCAAAACTCAATCGAAACCGACTTTCTGGGTAATATCATATACACAAAATATAAGTTTAAAGACCGTCGAATCTGCATATGTTCCTGGTGTTTGTTCCTGGTCGCGTACTAAAATATCTAGCAACAAATATTCTTTTCAAAGTAATTTTGCAAAATTTTGTAGAAAATTCTTCGAAAATTTTAAAAGTTTTAGCTTTTCCATATTGTCATTAGTCCTTGCATTGCTTAAAAATATAAAGAGCTTTTATATACTTACATACTTGTATTATATACATAGGTATATATAAATGTATGTATATCACATAAACTACCCATTCTTCTTTCTTAGTATCAAAAATGGACGGGCGAAAATAATATTTACCCTGAAAATTTTTTAATCAGGTTTGACTAACGGCAACAGGCGCAAATGCACGATTACTGCAAAGATTTTCCTGTAATGATATAGAATGTGCAAAAATTATAACATAAAAAAAATTATGATGCAATGTAAATACATAAGTGTATAATAACGGATTTAAAGACGTTAGACAAAATGTACGTAAAAAACAAAATGTGTCTTTAAAACCAAATATATAGATCTGTACATACATGTGCATTTATGATTTATTAATTAATATTTATCCTTAATATTGCTCTATAATCGAAATCGAAAATTTCCGAAAAGTATTAAATGCGTAAGCAAAACAAATTACAAAATTAAAGTTGACAACATAACGAAAATATATCAAGACACTAGCACATTTTTATGTGCTACAACAGCAAAGGATCTCAACAGCAACATATCTGCCTCCGCTTGTTCTTCTTCATTTTTAATAAAAGCAATAACACACCAGCCCAATGATGGTCACAGCACTTCCACTTATTCACACATTTGCATTCTTGTATGCGGTCAGTGCAATCACCACAAACAAGCACGCCGCGTAACAGCCGCAAAACACCAATGCGTTGCACACCACAATTCAACCAACGCACGTCCCGTACTACAATACGTCGAAACAAATGCTTGTCCTACCGCCCGTTGTTCTCCTTGCAGTGAGAACAAATTAAAGTCATGGCTAATGGCGGCAGCGAAACGAGCAAACTATTCGAAGAATCTTTTGTCACCCCCCACATAGTCTACATAAGTGGTGTTTTGACATTTACCATTTATTATTCGCTTATCTCTTTATATTTATTTTATTTCAGAACATGTCGTGATATAATGTATGTAGGTAACCACAATTCAATTAATGATTTAATCGGTCTTTAAGCTCTTAAATATTTTCCTTATTAAAAAATATATGCGCACAAAATGTTTAAATATTTTTATAAATTTGCATTGGTGAGAAACTATTTAAACTTTTAACTTTTTGCCGTTTACCGTTATTCAGCGGAAGCTTCGAACATTGTCAAATTTAATATATATTAACGCTTATGCCGATTTCAGGTTAGAAGAAATTATATAGTATTCTGGCATAAAACCCATCCATATATAAAGTTTGATGGTCGCTGTATTAATCTGCTTACAAATGTATAAAAATTGTCTCCACAATGCTCATGATAAATAGAAAAAATGTCACTTTTCAACAAATGAAGATGCAATAGAAGATGCTATTGAAACACAATGAATTAATGAATGAATATTAATGGATTCTACTGTTACTGACTGCTCTCTTTACTTTCAATTTATAAATTTATTTCAAAACGTTCATTATACGTTTGAGTTGAATATCTCGTTGGCAATGCCATGAGCTGCTGACATGCCGCTGAATATTGTGACGTTCATGAAACGTCAAGGCAATGTGGGAAATGTCAACCCGTTTCTCCTTCTCTATATCCGGTCAGCCATAAGACCTGTAAGTGGAATTTTGTGCTTTAATTGGTTTTTAATCGTAAAAATCATGTGAAATATTAAGAAATCGCAACTATTACACACAAGAAAAAGTTAAATTAAACTTCAAATAATGTCATAGTGTATTTATTGTTACGTTTTGAAATAATTTCAGCGCGTAAAAAGTGTATTAAAGAATGTTTTAATTCTATATAGACAACCATATAGTTCAGTGTAACAAAGTTTGATTAAACAAATAAATTGTTCTATAGCAGAGTTTGTAAAATTGTGTGATTTCTATATATCACTTGATCAAATTCATTAATTTGTAAAATTATTTAGCTTTGAAGTTGTTTATAACAAATTCTTTTCCAATTTTCATATTTTCCGATATTCATCTGTATCTACAACCAAATGACAAACTATATGATTTGTATTCACTCAAAAGCCGACAAGATGAGGAAAATTATGAAACAAGGTAAAATCGTAATCGTCCTTAGTGGACGTTACGCAGGTCGTAAGGCCATTATTGTAAAGACTTCGGATGACGGTACACCCGAGAAACCTTTTGGACACGCACTTGTCGCTGGTATCGATCGGTATCCACGCAAGGTGACTAAGAAGATGGGCAAGAACAAGTTGAAGAAGAAGTCCAAGATCAAGCCTTTCCTGAAAGTGTTGAACTACAACCATCTGATGCCCACCCGTTATGCCGTGCACGATATCTCTTTCGAGAAATTGTCGCCAAAGGATCTGAAAGACCCTGTTAAGAAGAAGACACACCGCTTCCAAACACGCGTCAAGTTCGAATCCACTTACAAAGAGGGCAAGAACAAGTGGTTCTTCCAAAAGCTGCGTTTCTAAGCTATCACCTTTGGATTACTTGATACGTAGATAAGCACCTTAATTTTTATACATTTAAAAACATAATTTTATATGTTTTATTTGTGTGGAGAAGAGCAGAAAAGATGTAAGTTATACCAGAATGGTGGAATGTTGGAATGCAATCAACAGTAAAATAAAGTGGTTCTTAAAAATTAAATTTATAGTTCCTTTTTAATTCCTTCGAAGTTTTTAAAGTGATAGAACTGAATCCATTCTTTATTCCATCGGATCTTTTTCAGTGAAACAATTAATGTGCAGTAGCATTGTTTATATTTGTTTGATGTTTTTTCTGTTTTATAAGTACCTAACCTGAAGTCTTTATGAATTGGAAATGGTGTCAGTTATGTATTGCATACATTTAGGCTTGATTTCATTCGAGTAAACAATTTGTTTCTCCAGTTAACTGTTTTTAAATTTATATATTAGTAAAATTACTTTAATTCTAAAATTGAATAATAATAATACCAATGAGATAAAGTGCAAAGACATTTGGCAATTTTGGTTTACAGTTACCGTGAGCTGTATATCCAATACCTAATAACGTCCAGCCAGTAAAGATTGAAAGAACAGGTTGCTAAGTGGTGCGGTTATTTCCCCAGCTTCTCGTTCATCTGTTAACTTGCAGAAGATTCACTTTTTTGTCTGGACAACCTAGCAACTTAGTAAATATTTTAAATAATCTTGTCTCTTGGTTTGCAGTTACTTTATTGAAGCAACCAAAATATTTTCGCTCAGCAAGTATGATGGTAAATATAAATAAACAGCTTTACATTTTTTTTTCTCAAATTCAATGGATTAAATTAACAATTATGTTTTTAATTTACCAGTTGTTGCTCATAAATAAATAAATGTAAAAATATAGCGATTTTTAAACATGAGGCTGAGCTTTTACTTAAGTAAAAGCAGACACAATTTGAAAATTTTAGTACAATTTAAAACTATAAGGAGATGTCAACAAATGATTTCACATAATATATATTGCTTAGATATCTTGTAGGTACTTAATACGTTTTATATAATTTCCGAAAGGCTAACAACCAAAAATTAAGTCAAGCAAACGTTATATCGCTTCACAAACTGGATTCCATCGAGTTGTCGTTCCGATTTGCGCGCCATATCCCATATTGAGTAATTAGATCTGTAAAATAATTGAGATTTTAGTAAAAGTACAATTGTGCAGTTAAATATTTGTTAATTATGATGTTGCAATTACCTGCAGCTCCAATCCTTTTATACGCTGACACGCAACACAGGGAGTAACAGAGGAGGTGGTAAGTTTTTTAATTAGTAGCGCACAATCGGATCAGGGTTTGAACATCAAAGCGGGCATACTTAATAAATCATTGTAATATATTGCAGCTGAGCGCAGGCGTCGGATTTTAGTTTATAATTTTGATTTAATACCAGATTTTGGAGTTTAATGCCAATTGGCTTAGTTGGAAGGAGTTGAACGCTGGCGATTAACTTTTCGTTTGTGTTGTTAATATAAATGTACATAATACATATCAGCAACAGTCAAATAGTGACAATAATAGACCGAGGTTTCGTAAATTTTAATCGGCTTAAACTAAGGTAATCTAATTTTTGCTTTAATCTTAATCGCGATATTGTCCTTGGGGCCTGTGTTGTATAGCAGTGCATTGTGTGGGATCCCACATAACCAGTTTTTGTTATTGGTTGACAGTTAAACGGATATCGGATACATGGTGCGGGGCAGGCAGCGTGTAAGTAGAATTTTTTTTTTTTTGTGATATAAATTGGCGAAATTAAAAAATATGTATGCATAAACAAGTATAATTTTGAAATAAGATCGAAATTGTATAGAACACGAGCATCGCTAAGACGACGCTGAAAATATGATAAATGTAGTGGTTAAACGCACAGGCGAAAAAGAAAAGCTACATCGAAAGGTGCTGTAGAGATACAAATACATAAACAATACTACAAATTTACTTTTCACAAGCGTTTGAGTGAGAAAATGCATGTGTGTGAAAAGTTGGTTAACCAGTGGATAACTTGTTACAATAAGAAACGCACTAGGGTTGGTTATATGTATATGTGGTTTCCAGAAAAGTAAAGTGTGTATTTTTAGACTCGTAAGTGTACATCCAGACTACTAAAAACAAATAAAAGTATTAGAAGAGGAACCATCCACACTAGATATAGCTGAAATATGCACTAAATTAAAAGGAATTTAGAAAAATATTTACTAAACATACAAGCGGAGCATTGGCAGTAAATTGCAGTTAGTGCTGGAACAATTTGGTTATAATTAGTAGGAGCATAATAAGCATAAATAAAGTAGATAACATTTACAGGAAATACTATATATATAATATATAGTACGTAATAAAAATATGCTAATAAAAGTACGGTGTACGTATGTACGAAATATAAGTAAATGTATAACAAACACACTAAGAATACAATAACATTAACCATTCAATGCATATTTACGGTTGTCATTTAGAAAAAATGTTATTTTTTGTGTAAAATTTGTGCCTTGCACTAAATTAAACTTGCCGAAGGCAGCAAATAAATTTATATAAATAGTATACAATATTTACTTGTATGCATGCATTGAATAGCTACTAAGTAAGTACATTATAAAAGTAGTAAGAAAATAACAATTCCACAGGCGGACGATACTAATATACGTAGGCACTTGAAAGAGGTTACAACAGATTGCATGATGCTTTGGGATGTATAATTGCATTACCAATTCACGCGTTTCTTGGCCAAAATTTTCAGGATATTTTCCACAACGTCAGTGCTGGAAGCGGAGCCACCTAAATCTACATACCAAAAAATAAATATTTTTTAACACACTATTTTGCACTATTTAATGCTCAAACCTGGTGTGCGAATGCCATCATTAACCACAGTTTCATATGTCGCTTCATAAATAACACGCGCATGTTCTTTGTGTCCTAAATGATTCAGCATATCCGCGCTGGCGTTTATCATTGCCACTGGATTGGCAATATTTTTTCCAGCAATAGCTGTACCAGTATTACGCGTGCCAGGTTCGAAGACAGCGAACTAAAGCAGTATTTAAAGAGGATTCGATAAATTAATATCATGCTTCTAATTGATTTTCCACTTACGTGATCGCCATAGTTAGCACCAGAGAGCAGACCGGCGCCACCAATTAATCCGCAAATAACATTAGAAACTATAGTGCCATATAAATTGGTCATGTTCATTACATCGAACTTGAAAAGATAATCAATTTTAATTTATCATAAAATAATAAATATTAGAGCTTACTTGATGTGGATTAGACACCAATTGCATGCATGTATTATCGATAATCATATTGTTATGCTCAATTTCTGGATATTCCTTGTGAACATTTTTGGCAGATTCAAGGAAAAGACCGTCGGACAATTTCATAATATTGGCTTTGTGAATGGTTGTGACCTTTTTACGATTATTTTGACGTGCATATTCAAATGCATAACGCGCTACACGCTCAGCATTTTCTACCGTAACTACCTTCATGCTTTCAACTACACCGCGCACAGATTCATGCTCCAACATTGCATACTCACCGTCAGTGTTTTGACGGATCAATACAACATCAATGTTCTTATGACGCGAGGGAATGCCAGGGTATGAGCGGCAATGTACAACATTTACATACAAGTCAAGTTCATTACGAATGGCTACATTACGTGATACCTCATCTAAGCCTTGCGATTTGGTTTCAATATTACCCTTAATAGCAACACCATTTCGCTTAATTGAAGTTATAGCATAATCCAAGTCATCATTGCCCTCAGTAGAAGGATCAATTTCTATCACTTCAAAATCGATAGGTGCGCCAACGAAACGGAAGATTTCGCGAATGTAGTGCATTAGCTCGGGACCGATACCACCACCTGGCAACATTGTGACTGCATGTCGACCGCCATATTGTGCAGATGGTATATCAACACCCTAAACAATAGTATAAACAGTGATTAACCTCACTTGTGTTTACATTTATATGGGTCATATTAAGAAAAAAAAACACTTCAGTAATTACCGTCCACTTCTTTTGGAGAGACGACTTGGTATGTGCAACATCTTCGCCCTTTTCCTTTGTCACCAGTAGAGGATAGCCCTGGGAAAGGAAGAAATGTTTAGTTGCATAAAAATTAACTTTTTGCTTAAAATTTCTTATGTAATTATTTTTTAAAATTGAAATCATTTAGCTATATTTTAAGAAATTTCTTCAATACATACACGAGTCAGAAATGGTACTTGATTTTGAAGTAAACGTTGAGTATAACGTAAAGCCATTTTATAAACTTTTTACACTTTTTTCTTAATTACTAGAAAACTAAATAATTTTGCGAAAATCTACTTTGCCAAATCTGATTAGACGACCCACTGCTGCTTCAGTGTGGATATGCTGTTCACAATTATGAAAATGTGAATGCAACCTTACATGCCACTAGGTCGTGAATTAGTGCAAATTAAGTCGTTATCATTCCTATTCACTAACACATTTGTAAAGTTTCACTTACACCACTACATTTTTAAAGCTAACTTTTGGTAAAGTAGGAACATTCATCACACATGTTTTTTTAAAGGCGTAATAAAGAGATGCACGTAAAGCTATTCAATTTTTCATCAACAATGACGGGCTTTTATTGGAAAAAGATTTTGAGGTAAACTCCTTGTCTGATTTTCTTTTTACATATAAAAGGTGTTAATAAAGACAGTAAGTACTTGAATTTTATGTTGGGGTAAATTTTAGAATATCAACCCCCGAATTCGGGCTTAAAATGGTTATGTACGAATAGAGGAGGTTATTAAGGAAATATATACATTTAGTTATGGGTTTAGAGATATTTGCATCTAAATTCTTTCTTTGATTTATAATGAATTTTCCTCTTAAATTTTTAACTTTTATATGCACAAAAATTTCACTAATTGTTTCTACAGATTTATTTTATATTAGCGGTTATAATGATGCAGAAATAACTTTAATTCATAATTTAACTTTTGAGCAATAATACCCCAATGGCAGGAAATAAATAACACATTATTAGTTTTTCGTAAGCACTGTGCAGTCTCCATTGACAATATTGATAGCAATTCGGATTTTCAGCAATCTTTAATTGTCTGTGGAGATACCCCTTAACAATGTTCAGTCTCCATTGGCAATATTGCTGGCAATTCAGAGTCTTCACAGATAATGTAAAATATATATGTATAAAAATATTTGAGACCGCTTGGTCTTTTCTTCTTGGGTTATGTCAAGCAAGAGTTGTACAAAATCAAACCCAGAAATCTGAGTGAACTGAAGCAGTCCATTAAATAGATAATTGAGGCAATCCCGAATTAGGTGTCGCATATGCGTGGTTGAGCATGGAAGAATAATTAATTGTGTAAATAAAATAAAATTTCCTATACAATAAAAAAAAAATGTAATGCATTGACTAAAAAGAAACTTATTACGGTTTAATTTTGTAGCACGATGCGTTAGCCACCCTGTATAAGCAGAATATCTTCAAATTATATGCAAAGTCGTTTGCGCATTGTAAATATACGAATCTGTAAGCGTACATTTCTTAACATTGAAATTAGCATTACTTTTCTCAATTAACATTGAAAATGCTCAATTCTACTATTTTTCAGTCCCCTGATGTTAATTGTGGCCATTTGGTGAAACTCGCTCATCGTTTTCAGTTCCCCTGCGAAACGTGAAATATTTTGATAATGGCCGCACTGCGAATCTTCTCTATAATCTACATTCTCCGGTCTTAGCAATCTTTAATTACCTGTCGATATGTCGCGTTAAGAAACTCATAGAAACTTTAACAGAAATTTCTGGTATTTTAAATTTAACCAATAGGTGGTTTGCAGGGTTGGTTAAATTCGTTTTGTCCAAAATTTTAGTAAACGGTATTTTGTTTTCGATACTGTAAAGCTGAAAATTGTAATTTGTTATAGGAGAATTAATTTAGATTAAATAGGATAATTCTTAAAAAAAAATAAAACTTCGCACAAATAAAAAACAGTTACCATTCAAATTTTAAATACACCACGAAATTTAATTTCAAACAAATTAGTATATTTAATCGTGAAAATAGAAATTGTATACTTATACTTTTCGGTTATTTAAATAAAAACAATTATTAACGAATAATTTAGCCCTCACCTACCGGCTATTTTGGATTAACTACAAGTGTGAATTATGGTATACTATATTCATTATTCAAAATCGTATCATTCTGATAGCAGCAAAGCTGGAAAATTAATAGTTTTCAGCGGAATAATATTTAGGTGATGAGATAAATGCTCGGAAAGTTTGCACTCAAAACCTTCAACATAGTATATAATACATAAGTATGCGATCTTGAAATCTTGTCCCTATACTTGACTTCTTCTCTCCTATAACTGGAAGCTGCACAAATAAAAAAAAACACATACGTTTTCAATTTGTAAAACAACTAGCAGAAAATAATACCATAACTGTTAATACATACATACGTACACATGTATGTGTTCCAGCAAGTTTTAATTACACAAATCTGGTGTTTCCATCAAGTTCATAGGCAAATTTTTCAAATGTTGATTCGAGGTCATCAGATCATAATACTGGGACTTAATATATTTATTTTAAATATTGCACAAATGCCAACGCTTAATTCATTAAGGTTGAATTTCAATAAATTGTTAAGTGTAATTTACTCTACTTCAAACAATTATACAATAAAAAAATGATTAAAATCGTTCGCACAAATACTTTGCATTCGCATTTCCTATATATTACTTTCCTTATATAAGGCAAACATACATATATAAAGGAGTGTAAGTGCAAGGATACATTTTACAAAAGTTTGAGCTGACGGGTTTGTGAAGACACTTAATCATTTATACTATTTCGTTTGAATTTGGTGCAGCAATCGTGCTAGTGGCCGCGCATTTTGTGTATTTGTGTTCTTAATTTGTTCGTAGATGAATTCAACATTTTGTAACGTATGCGACTGTAAATAAATTGGATGAGGGTAGGTTATAAATATGTAGAAAGATTATGAATCTCGAAAGCAGTACTTTAAGAATTGTATTGGCCAATATACATATATGTAGGATATGCGTGTACTGTGTTCGAAATTCATTAAGGCATGGTGATTTACAATTAACTTAACGTCGATGTGGGACTCCGCCTTTACAGCAAGAAGCCAAAGATTGACAGCCAATTGGAAAGTTTTCTCGCGGCTAAGATTAGCATACCGGACGATACGTAAAAATAATTCCAAAGCTAGTGTGGCCTGCGTACGTAATTGGCGTTTGCTACCCAGTATTTTAAGTTGAACTAAGATGTCATCAATGACTTGAACGCATATATTATTGACTTCTGTTAGATATTTCTGATCATGACCATAAAGTTCATCATTTGAAACAACTGAAATTGAAAGACAACACATTAACAATATTTTTAGATTATATCTTACTAATTCTCACCGCAGGGAATGTGATAAGGGAATTCTTCCAAACTTTGTACGTACAACATGTCTAGAGCGTGCAAATAGACGATGACCAGTCCAGAGCTTTGAGCATCGAAGGGAAATTTAGTGACCTCTGAAAGTAGTAGACGTAGTAGATATAACACTCCCTGATCGGGACTATCCTATAATGAAAAGAAAACCAAATGTTCGAGTAATGATAAAGGAGTTAAACGATTATATTATTCCTTACAGGTACTACCACCAATGTTGCTAACATGTTGCAAAGGTAAGATACCAAATACGTCTCCAGATTCCGTGGTATGCCCTCCATTTCCACGGATCGTGGTAAGTTACTCACTAACTGAAGTGCGGCTTCGAAACACGCATCCGCTGAAAAATAAAACTACAAATCTTATTCTAACTACAAAAATAATTGGGGATACATACCCTGTCCTAAACATTGATTTAATAGCGCCACCTGACCGGTCAGTAAGTAAAGGTCCATTTGATTTGGAATTGCTGTGATACTAGGGATTGAAATGAAAGAGAATGCTATGCATGCTTTTACAAACGCTCCAGTTTTTTGAGTATAATTTTCTTTAGCCACATGTCGTATCTCAACAGCTAACTTATTTACCGAATTTACCAATGTTATATAGACTGTGTCTAAATCCGTGAAAGCTTCACGTGCTTCCACATAAAAACTAAGCTGTCGTTCAAAATCTTTTGGGTAAGTAACTTTACGTATGAAACTGCTTATCAACAGCGAAATTTGTCGCCGTTCATCCTCTACGGTTTGAGCGCTAATGGTGAAAAATATCAAATCAATTGCAAATGCAATTCGAATATCAGGAAATATGTAAGAACTCACGTCACAGAGTCGCTGAGAATCTTTCCAATAAACATGATCGCATTGATCACAATTTCATCCGAGATATTATCTTCGGATTTATGTTGGAACCTTATCATAATGTTCTTGCATACGAGTATCCTATTTGAATCTTTCTTAAAAAGATCTAAATATGGTAAAAAATTTTCCTGAATTAGCAACAACTCCGTATTTTCAAAATGTTGCAAAATTTTGTCTAAAATATTTTGCAATTGAGTATAAAATCTCTCATATGTTCGGCTTGCGTTCACTCGTAACGTGATTGTTCCCAACAGATTGTTGATAACAGTTATCTAGCAGAACACATGAAACAAATAAAGCTATTTACATATGTATTTCGTACTTCAATATTTTCTTCGTACTTACAGAGAAATTTTTTGCAATAAATTGTGCCCACGTTTCTAAACAGTTTATGTATTCAGTTGAATCGATGAAAGTATCTATGGTATTAAAAGAACCATTCAAAAATTGTAACCTTTGCTCTGGAAGTGGTGGGCAGCTGCTGACACTAACGCCAAGGGCGCGGAACAAGTGTGCTTTCGAAATGCCTTCTGTGTTAGAGCTTGCAAGTAACCTAACGAATTCCATACCGTTTGCAGCAATGAACTCTGATTGAAATACATTCAGCATGGAAATAAACAGTAATCCACTGTAAAATTGTCAAAGTAAGAGTTTTGTTTAATATTTCTAAATAACTATTGAAGAGATCATACGATATTACTGTCATAATAAAAATTACTGACTTATTTTTTGTTTCTTTGCATTCGTTCATTATTTCTTCTGTGTAAATATTGTTTTTGTGAACAAGTGCTAATAACATGAAATCCAAAGCAGGACTGTACAATGATAAATATGTTTCAATGTTGACTTGCTGGCGATTTAGTTCTGAACGAACAGCTCCGCTAAAAATCTGAAAGTAATATGTATTTAGATTTCTACGGGATTCAGCAAACGTTAGAATGTAGTCAATACCGTGTTGTAGATTTTAAGGAAATCCTTAAAATTTTCTTTTATGGATTCTTTATTAGACGTTACATTTAGACTAATACGAACCAAATAGCACCGTGCATACGTCTGCACTAAAGGGTCACCAATACCACGGATCATTTTAGTAATACGAAGTAAATTTTTATCGAATTCGCTGTAAAAATGTTAAATTTTACTTACATTTAAATTGGTTAATAACGAGTTTTAATTTTTACTTAGGTGATATAAAGTCATAACATTTGAGTATAGCCATTTCCAAATATAAACGGGGTAATAGTTCCCGAATAGAAGCAATTTTAAAAAACCAATTTTGACAAGTTTCTCTGGCGTTTTCATACAATGGCTCAGAATCACTCGTTTTTCTGTTTCTATAAAAAGAAAATTCAAACTAGTGTTACAAAAGAAATGTACACATACTCTCCAGCGCCAGCAATATTGCTTGCTTTAATATTAAGTCGCTCATGGACCAATTTTCCAAACATATCAAGAATATCAGTTATCAGAACAAATTGGCTGGGATAAAAGTTAAGTACAGAAGTGTCGGCAAGCATTTTGGAACATTGAATGACAATTTTTAATGATTTTACACGTTGATCATCGTTCCACGACGTTATCAATTCTTGATTTAATTGTTCAATACGTTGTATATATTCCTGTTGAGTTAAATCAATCATGTGACTCACGGTATCATCATCGAAGTCATCCAGCTGTTCCAGGCGAAATTTAACTTTGTCGGCAACTACGGTCTGAGCTTTGACTAAAATAGCAAATCGTTAACAAAAAGACAATATATATACGAGCATATATGTATGTAGATTTAATACGGAATAATTTTTTTGATTAGTTAAATAATCCAGCAGAGCTTACTTCCTTCTCCACCTGAGTTTACTGCTGAAAGAAAACTTGTGGAAATTGACAGCTTTTCTGACGTTGTATATCGATTCAATATCCCCAATCGCTTTGCGCCCCAACTTATATTATCTTCGTCCAAACTTTTTCTATCATTATTTTTTTCCATTTGCTAAAAATTATAAGTGGATTAGTTTATAGTGGGGAAAGGTACTTCAATGTTAACCAACATATTCTGTAGCTATCTGTGTTAAAGGATCCATATTTTCTTGATCTTGCCGTGCAAATAGGGACAGTGGATCGGTTCCATCAAAGGATAAAGTGAGCGGCTCAACCGATAATGAAATGCTTGATGAAGCTCGTGAACTATTATCGTTACTCAAGCTACTCCGAATATCTTTCAAGTAATGTTTGGTACCTTTACTTTCGAATATAGTCACTCCGTGTATTTTTAATGGATGCTCATAAGTTATGTAGCCTTGTAATGGGTTCTTGTGCACTTCATAAAAGTGGGGAATACACTCCCAATCCGTAGCCATTACAAAAAGATAGGGCGCGTACTCAAAACCAACAATACAGATAAATATCAAAATACAACAAACTTATTTGGATATTTGCTCAAACAAATCACATCTAAATAAATGCGCTTAAAATTACACTTAAAGTAATCTGCTATCCCTATAAGCAATAGTTGTTATCTCGATAATTTTATGAGCGACAATATTGCTTGGAGACTTCTACTATGATTTTTAACAAATTAGTTTTCAATGATAATGATCCTCAATTAAAAACTAAGAAAGGTTGAGAATAGAATAGCGGATGGGTATTTACGAATAGAGGAGGTTCACCAGATAAAGAATATATACACATTTAGTTGCCGTTGACTTATGGTTTTTGATATATTTGCATTTAAAGTTCAAAAATTAAACTATTTAAAGTGCGTGTTTCTTTGATTCATAATGAATTTTTCACTTATATTTGCAACAAATTTGTTTCTACCCATTTGTTTTGTATTCAACAGTGCAAAACTAACTTTAATTCAATATTTAACTTTTGTTCAAATCCATTTATTCTTTCGTAGTTTTTTGCTTCAAAATTAAAAACCCTTATAGTACAAACAGGCACCGACGCAAAACCGTGGACCGAATCAGCTGCCCAACTCATCTCTCACTGGAAATCAGAGCGCAATTGCTAAACGTCAAAACCTTCTGAACTCAGGCAACTGTCAAAATTCAGGAGGTCTGACATTTAGCAATTGGAAAAGGAGGGACGGCCAGATTGAAATCCTACAGAAATGTATGTGATGAAATCTTTTGCGATGCCATGCTTAGTAGTATGAATTTTGAATTGAAAATTATAAAAAAAAAACATTTATTAATTGAGAGCTACTACATTTATTCTTTTGATTATTGAAAGTTCAAACATCAATTGTTTTTATATATTGCAAAATGTACATGTGTTATTCTACTGAAGAACCTCTCTGATGCGTTTTTTGAAATTGCGAGTTGAGTTCAATTTACTTTATTCAATATGTAGAGGAAAGTATAAACTAACGACATACTTTCAGTTGGCCGCTTAAGATTTTAGTGATCCACAAATACTCGTAGCAACGTGAATTTTGATTAATTATATTTTGGTCATTAAACCAAAAATATTTATGAATCTTGTAATTATTCTAAAGTTGTTAAATTATTTTTAAAGAGTAGATGATAAGAAGGGCTTTCTACCCCTGTAGCTAAATTGCATTTTCTGTTTACATACATAAAATATATTATTACTTATTATCATTTGATGTTTTGTTGTCATGCCAAATTATTTGCCTTCATATTTTAAATATTCGCGATCAAGTATACATATAAGTATATATTCTTACAACTTTGATATTGTGTTGCGTCTGATGTAAAGGAAAGTGAAAATGCAACTTTAACTCTGCTGTTGCAACTGCTCACTTCTTTATATGCTGGTTTTACTTGTTTTCACAATAATTTTCATTTTAATCTTTTTGCGAAATAGCGTTTTTACAAGGAGCGTTCCATTAATCCAACCAACAATCTTGTCTATTGACCATTAACCAATAGCTGATTAACTTTTAAAGATCGCATCAGCTGTAAAAATTTGTAAAATAAATTCTTCATGGCCATAAACCTTAACAAGTTTGTGGTGTTGAACGCGGCTATATTCTGTTGTATTTCCAGTTATTAATTATAATATTTTTATTCATTCACTTTAAACAATTTATGTGTATGTTCATATGTGTATATGAATGTGAATAAATACGTATAAATGTATTATAATTGTAGTTTCCGATGAACAGCTTGTTTCTTCCATTCAAAATATTTCGAAAAAAACACCGAACTTTGGCTTAGACTTTACTATCAAACAAAAATTGTAGTGTATGTAGTGGAATTAATGCAAACAGTCAAGCGTTATATCCAAGATATCTTATTTGAACGCTCACACCTATCAATTGATTAGATGGTGCTTCTGTATTTATGTGTTTTTGCAAAGAAGGAAAGGTAAATTAGAAGATCATCTAATGATAGGTTTAGGAAACAACATGTTTCAAAGAGATTGGGTAAGGGATGCTAAATAAGTGAGTTTTACAGGGCATACAAAGAGGTTGTTGGTTTCACGCGGGCATTATTTGCATGCAGGGCATATGTTTGGTATATCAGGTTCTAATCTGGATAAGCAGGAGTGTAGGGGGAACGGCATGAATTGATTTTCACGGTAAGCCTATCGGTTTTCCTATTCAGTTTGAAAAGTAAAAAAGATTGAAGTCATAGTTCTTTAAGCATCGAAATAAATACTTTCCAAATAAAAAAAATTATTCGTATCAAAATTAAGGATATAAAATATTGGTGGCCGCCCCTTAAATCGAAATCTACTATTATTGTAGTTTTCATCGTAAATATACTTTATATTTTTTTATTAGTGTGTCACAATTTAAAATCGCCCATTTGGTTTGAACACTTGTGAAAAATGCGGAAGTATTAACCAAATGTCAATTGACAATTTGTCAAATTCTTACGGCAACACGTCAATATACTTCAGCCAGTGTGAATTGCACATGTTGAACACAACATCAGCGTACTGTAATGCATACGATAGCTGTCGGCGTTGGCAGCCGCGTTGGAAGAGCTTTTCGAATATACATATGTATAAAAATGCTTGCATTGGATCATGGCAATGACATTCAGATGGTTTTGCATGCAGCTTTCAGTGTTAGACATTCACTTCAAGTCTTTGAGATATTTCATGGATTCGCATGCCATATTTGAAATTCGTGGTCATGTGTCATCATATATTCGTGTATAAGTGAACCGAATAAAAAATAAATTAATTTAAATACTTTTATTTATGTACATATTTGGTATAGACAAACATATCTGTTCGTTCCAAATAATAAAAAAATTAACAATTTAAAAAAAATATTATTTCTAGTTTGTTAATCATATATTTAGCGACAAATTAATAGTCAACGTCGTTATTTCGACTCAGTTGTTGTTAATAAATAAATTAATAATTGTACATAATAAATGACATACACAACCAATAGTTCTTTAAAAACGGTTTCATGAAATGCATCGATCAAAGGACAAAGTGAAATAACCATGAACGTGTGTGTACACACACATGTATTTAATAATATTTATATATACGTACATATATACAGGTTGTCTAAGATGGCAAGCAGAATGTAACGATATATTGATCGATGCCTGCTTCAGTCAACACATAATTAATATTATATATACATAAATTCAAATTTTTATGCAAGTTTGTATTAACATGTATTGATAATAAATGCTCAAGCACCCTGTAGTAAATATATGTATTTAGATGTTTGACGATGAATATTTGCAGAGCATTCAATTTCCTACAAAATCTATAGAACAAGATATTTTTTCAAGTAGTTTGCAAGCAGCAAGATATGAATTTTTTTTCTGATAATAAGAAAAAAATAGAAACCCGTTAGGCGGTGGACCAGCTCGTTACAATTAAGAGCTCATACTTGGAGAGCCTTTCTTATAGGTGTCTATTAACCAATAAGAAAGGCTGAGCGAGTTAACTCACTTTTGGTAGCTTTCAACATAGCATTTGGGTGGGTGGCCGTGTTTTATTATCCGATTTTGATAATTTTCACATGAAATGCTTATTGAAAATGTTTCCAGAAAGTTCGGTTCATAAAGCTTAAATAATTTGTTAGATATGTACAGTAAGTCGGGAACAGATGTCTTTCCTTAACTTTTCTAGTAAAGATGGTACAATAGGGTTGAATGTGCAACGGTATATTATAATAATTGGACATTAGGCGTGACACCACTCACTTGTAATGTCAGTTTAAAGATTTTGTATATAACATTTACACGTTAATATATTCTAAAGGTTGATAAAATTGGTTTAGTTCATTTTGGATATGTAGTATATCCGAAAATTAGCTTAAAAATGAAATTACTTTAAAATCAATTCTGGAGTTTAGTTTAATGACAAAAGTAAATGAAATAAGATCCCTTAGCAATTTCCGACTTTCCAGTTTACTTTATTACAGTTAACATTGATATGAAATTTTAATGATATTATTCGGATAAATGAAATTGGTATGAGATCTAGTTCCCAATCTAATGATTGGAGTGGAAATTGGATTACTTTTATTTAAAAAATATTTTAAGTGCTAACATAATGAATATAGTGATTTATGTTAGTTAGATTAATTAATCCATAGTACAAGATACTAAGATGCCAAATGTGATCGTAATCCATTCACGGTTTTGTCGAATATTGAATTTATTCGCAACATCTTTTAATATAAAGTTTCAGCAACACCTGAAAATACCTACGAGAAGTGGAAAACATTTATGTAAGAATTAACGCCAATGAAGCATTTTTATCCTTTATGGCACGATGTGACAATGTGTTTTTAATGTCCATTAATGATCCGCTCATTAGAGAGGAGCAGAGATGGGTATATGGTGAATGACAAAGTTCTTCTTTGAAGTTTAAATAAAACACATAAATACACAACTAAAGCGGCGACAATGAAGAAGATATATGATGGTAGTTATGAGTATATCTATATTAAGATCGTTATGGTTTCTCTTTGGTAGCTGTTGCTGAGCTACTTTTGTGGAAATCATAACCAATACAGCTGTTATTTGCTTAATTGAAAACACTTCAAATAAGACTTTAGCTGCCATTGTAATTGTTTATGCCGAAACGTGTCTCGTTATATCGTTCCTGCTTTCAAACCTACAAAAGAAATATGAAAGGTCTAGACAGAGGGCACTCACTTGCCATTAAATTGCTGCGCTCCGCAATGCAATCAAGAGCAATATTAACAACAAGAACTATCGACTTTGACTGCATTTAAACTTGTTTGTTGTTGTTACATTTCAATGGTAATGCTGTTAATTAAGGATCCAATGTTTACGCATGCATAAACCTCAAACTGTTGATGTATTGGAACGTAGCTAATTCACATAGTCATTGAAAAGTATGGCTTGTATTTTTTTTTTTATTCTTTAGAAAAAGCTTTATTATCGAAAAGCGGTGCATTTAGTAATCTTATTTAATGGGGCACATTTGTGAGTTTCGTCCGATTTTGAGAGAAAATACTGTATATATTAAGTTGCTATCAATTATTCGGGAAATACAAAATAACGCTGATTGTAATTGCGTTAATTGCAATAAACTATGCGCTTGAAGCGGTTAAACTCAGGTCATAATTTTACGTTTAATATATGCGGATATTTTGAGTTACTGCATTTATTTTTGTATACACAGACGTTTATATCAGAAACGTTTCTACATTGCTACCTCAAAGGTGACGCGAAAAGCTATACACGCAAATAACTTTATCATTAATAAATAAAATGGCTCCTTCTACCTCATTTTGTACAAGCATACATACATCTCAAAAAGCTCAGTAATTAAGATCCTAATTATGTGAAAATACTCCCAACCAATGTTGCTACATGTGTATGTATAGATGAGAATGTGTATTCTGCTAAAATGGCCTAAATACGGAAATTGAAGGAAAAAATCGGTGACGAGGCAAAAAAGAGCATAGCATAAAATATCTTAATAATGTTGCATAACTACGACAAAATAAATATTATAAAGAGGAAAGATTTGATTATTTTTTTGTTTGAATTGCATAGGCTCCGAAACTACTTGACGGATTTGAAAAATTCTTTCACTGTTGGGAAGCTACACTCTCTCAGGTGAATATAGGCTATATTATATTTTCAAAAAAGTTAGAGATCCTTACTAAAACGCCAACATATATATCGAACTATTATAGTTACGTCACATAGGTGTTCTTTTATTTAAAAAAAGTTCAAAAAATCCCGTCTCTGTAAAAGCTCTTTATTTGTACCTGTTAATCCTTTTCGGAAAAATTTACTATATATTCAAGACTCATTCAATACCTTTATAAAACTTTTTGAATTATGCGATTCAGATATTCTATTCGAATTATATCACGAATTTATAAAATCGCGGATCCCTCTCGGAGTTGGCTCTCGATGAAGCGGTCGTGAAATTGAATAAAAATAACATTAAAAGTTCGATGTTTACATCTCATCGCGTATGTATATAAGGTCCTCTTCCCCCAAGTGGGATGGTAAATGGAGTATCTGCTAGACTTTTATATGTGTGTGGGAATCCAATTGTATCGAAGTATACTATATCATCTCAATTGATAGCGAAATTGACAATTACTCCCGACATGGTTATTCGTCTTAAGGCGCTCATTCCAAATTCTTTGTCAAGGGTGCAGAATAAATACTGTGTAAAGCATTGAAGTGTTGCAGTTAATCTATTATTGTTTGGCTAGCGCAATTGGTTGTGTCGCTTGTGGCTGATGTTGATGGCCATCCATCTAGGCGCAATTATTTTCATTCATTTAATTTTAAATACTCTTGCAATATGTTACTTAAGACTATAATAGTTTTGTTCACCTAACGGTTGTTTGTATCACCTAAAACTAATCGATATATGTAGATATAGGGTTACATATATAAATGATCAGGATGGCAAGCCGCGTCGAAATCCGGACGTCTGTCTGTGCGTACGTTTGTCTGTGCAAACTGTAACTTGAGTAAAAATTAAGATATCTGGATGAATTTCGGTATACTTGGGTTCCTTGGCAAAAAAAATATAAAAATTTACGAACTGGGAATAATCGAAACACTGCCACGCCCACAAAACGTCATTAATCGAAAACATATAACTAAGCCGTAAATTAAGATACATAACTCAAATTTGGCATCTAATTAAGAAGGGGCACTTGTAGTTTGAAAATCTTGAAAAATTGGGTGTGGTCCCGCCCCCTAATGAGTTTAATGTATATACCTCTCAAATCATTAAAGCTACAATATATAACCCAAATTTGCACGCAACAAATATTTTCAACCCTTCTTACGATAGTGTAAAAAAAGGCGAAATCGGATGATAATATTGCGCACTCCTAATAAATCAATAACTAAATGCGTCAGAGACATTAAATTTAACACCAAGGATGGCACAAGAAAGCTTTTTAGGAGCCGATATGAAAATTGGGTGGTGCGCGTGGCACCTCCTCCTTTTAGGTAATATCACTTATCTCGGGATCAGCTCGACCGTTTACAACCAAATTCATTACATAGCATTATTACAATATTATGACTAAAAATTGTCAAAATCGAACCAAAACTGTTCAAGCCCTTAGGTATCCAATATGTAGACCCTAGTACCAATAGTTGACTTTTTACCGAAAATATCGGTCAATGTATGAGATATATGATTGAAATTCATAGAGGATCCTCTCCTCACACTAATATGTCTGTATGTCAAAAATTGAAGTTGAGTCGGGTTAATACATCCCTTAGCTCCTATCTACCTAATAAAAAGATTTTCGAACTGTCGGGTGACTTTATATCGCATATTCCACGTCCCCAATATACCCCATTTTTTCAAGATTTTTCCCAAGATTTTCGAACTTCTGGATGACGTTACACCGCATATATCGGGTAATATTTAAGTTATCTCAATGAAAATGAGAGAGCGTGTTTGGACAAGGTATCTTTGTGCCTAAAATGGTTAAAATTCGGTAAAAACTTGACCTAGCCTCCATATAACTAATATCAGGATTTTCGAACATCCGTTTGACTTTACTCCATATGATTGGTGATAATATAATATGTGATATACCTGAATGAAACTGTGCATATTATGGTTTTCGTATTTCTATCAAGTTTTATACCGAATATGTCGTTTAATGTTCCCAATATGTCCCATATAATGACTTCCGTCTTTCCACCAGACTTTAAACTTTTCAGGTTGGGCAAAAGGTGATGTTTTAATGAAATTAAATAGGCAAGTTTTCTTAAAAATTATGTGCTTTGGCGCTGAATTAGAATATATACATTGGTCTAAATCTTTTATTCCTAAAATAATAAATCGCGATTCTCTGGTTGACGTTTTAACATCAACTCATTATATTAAATTAAGCTTTTTCAGTTGAGTTTATATCCCATATATCGCATTAAAGATGATTTTAATACAATTTTAGATGACGGGAAGTAAAATATAGAAATATAACTAAGTAAGTATATAATCTATAATATAACTTAATAAATTAGAAAATTTGATTGTAACCCATTTGGAATTTCATGAATGTTGAATTGTTTCGCAAAATTTTTTAATATAAAGTTTTCCTAACACCTGAAGGTATTTTGGCTGCTTTGATCATTGCAAGTTACAAGAGTATAATATGTTTGATTACACACGAACTAAGCACTTTCTTACTTATTAAATTTTCACCATCTTCTTGCGTTGCACAAAGATGAATAAGTGTGAAATAGAGTAGTAGTACGAGAGCAATTAGTTTTGCATTAGATTTTCCATTAGAATTCTCATTTCGCTTCATTTTTTCCATAAATATGGTGTGTGGTATAGTCAACATGGACATTGGTGGATTGCAATGAGATTTGATGTTTGGTATTTCTGCTGATGACGCTTTAATTCTGTTGAATTTAGTTATGGTCCGCCAATCTGGGAAAGTTGGTATTTTCCCAACAGAAGAGATATTTAATGGTTAGTTTTTCGACTTTAGACTTTCGTGTAGCACTTTCGTAGGCAGATCCTTACGACTTCCGCATTGAGGAAATGGAATGTCCCTTTTGAAGGTTGAATTTAAAATTAGTCTTTGTGAACTAACACTAAATCAGGAAATAACATGTAAATGTTAAATAATTAATTTTGAGTTGTTACTAAATATGATATCTTATTTTTTAAAATAAATATATCGCATCGAAGAGTATAAAAAAGGGCAATCTGAGTTTAAATTCTGACCATTCATTTTGATTCAGATTTGTGATTATAAGTATATAATAAGAGTATAGTTGGTGCTGCATGTTATAGAATTTTATTTTTTTAAATTGTAGCATAATTGATGAGGTTTTTTCACATATTCATTATTCGCTTCTCTTTTCTCTTCTATTTTCGGCAAAGTGGAACATCATCTTTTAAATATGTACATATATTTTATCATATTTTAATTAACGATTAACAAATATATAACAGTAACTACAATAACAACCTGATCCGAGCTAATATGTACCGGTTAGTGTTCTGCGCCCACATTCTGTGTCGTTGTGTGTTTTCTCATGTGATTTGGAAAATAATTTGTGTATTGGGTAAACACTCACAGGAATAGTACAGGGAGCCAACCGTTTATTGTGTAATGCAGCTCCCATGCCCGCGGTAGGAGAGTCGCTTTGCCACCAACAGCGCAATGATTTCACGGTTAATTTAAAAGTTCTTAGAAGCAGCATAATTTTGCTTTAATCTCACTTTCTGATTATATGCACGCTTTATCCTCATTATAACCTCAATTTTTTAGAGGAAATTGTACAGCATGTTCATTTTTCCGTAAAGAAATAAGACACAGTCCGCTAAAAAGAAAAAGCAATCAAAGATAATACATAACAACACCTGGGTGCTAGATGAAAGTCGCAGTTACATTAACATGACTAATAATTACCTACCTGCGAATACTCAAGCATACAAGAAAGCTGGAAGTCACAACTTTATTGCCGTGGTGATACCACAATTATAACAAGTGAACTATTGTTCGACTATGGTCGTCCATATTGACCAGTGTTATAATTTCCAAAATGTTCTATTTGGCTGCGGCATTCAGAGTGCTGCAATAGTATGAAGTTATGAATATTTGTGAATAATTGCATATCCGCCTTAAAATAAAGCTGAAAATCCAGCACTTATTTAATTTAAAAAGGTAGCTGATAAAAGCGCTAACTGCCAAAGCACCTGCTAAGCCTGGTATGTTTTAAGCTTATCCATAATGTTTTTCAACGCGTAGTGTGTACTGATCGGGTTGTGTATTTTATGGTTTTGAGGTATTTTGAAATTTATATACCAACTCTCAATTGCAATGCAACCACATATATGGTATATGAAGAGTTGAATCAAGTAATACAAGGTTTTATGTTAAATGATAAGCAGTGTAGCAGGACGAGCATATATGGCGATATCTAATCTTTTCAATGCTGTAAGCGTATCCGGAAATTGTTTAATTTAACATCATATAAATTTAACATCATTTTCCGATATCATCGATTTGAAACTGTTTGCTCAACTTCTTCACATTTCTTTTTACGTTGCTTTCTATATATGAACTATTTTATTTGTTGATTTAATTTTTTCTCCTGTGTCAAAAATTCTAGTTCTACCATAATTTAACACTACTTACAATGGGTAAACCCGAGATATTATTCAGTTCAGTTACGTTCAACGCAGAATAGTTGATTGGAAAGGCGGCTGCGGAAGATGAAAAGCCTGTAGTATAAAATAAAGCCTGTAAAGTGCCTTTGAAATGACCAGCGTACGTGAAATTACTTCGCCTTCCCTTTCCTTCTTTGCTAACTCCTCTAGTTTGCAATGCCCTCGCTGAAAGTCTCTATGGCTCGGTTTGGCGTAAGCGCTCATCAATGAAAGTAGTCGCGTTGGTTATTACGATTGTCGTAAAACGAAACACTACAATAAAAGGCCTGCAACAAAAAGTAACAGCTAAAACGCTTAAAGTTGTGCAGAGAGCACCGCACGACTGTTAACAACAACACTACATAAAATAACAGAAACAACAAAAACAAATCATACTCATCGGATCACAGTGCCAATGTTGCTTAACAGCTCCGGGCGAAATGGATGTAGCAGGTGCCACTTGTAACCAAACAGTACTCGCGACCAACCAGTTTTCTCTCAATGCACTTTATGGCAATTTATTTGGAAATCTTTGGAGCGCCGTGCGAAAGGTTTTAGGTTTCATTGATAAAAAAGCGCATATACTAATCTGCTCTTGCTTAATAAAAATAGTTTCTCTGAGAAAACCAGTCTTCAACATTTTTTCTTAAAAGAGTTTAGGAGTACATACAGTGGATAAAATTCGTTGGCCAATGTTAATTATCTTAAGAAAATCAAGAAATGAAACTATAAATAAAAAATATACACAAATTTCTGAAAATAATAGCAAGGTTTGTTTCTTACCTTTTTTCACGAACATATTACCATCAAACCGTTTCCATCACTACCAATACTTAGAAGGTTGAATATAAAAATTAATTAATATATTAGCACAGTATTATTGCTAGCTTTAAATAAATAATATATTTGCAAAAAGCAGAAGTCATGTGGAAACGGAGATATCATAAACTCGTTTGGCTGCAGGGAGTAGCAGGGCAACGTCAGCTGATACGAGTATCATAAAAGTTATTAAGATTAACAGTACAGCGCTTGTGACTGACTAGCAGAGACAAGTTGGAGTCGGCAATCAGTTTGAAAACGACTTTCATTCGCAACACATGTAAACGGCAAGCATTCGATTACCTGAGATGAAGTAAAATTGACTTAACAGTAAGGCAATAGAATTGAGCTGAAGGAAAGTTCAATAGGTACATTACAAAGAGCGGTAGTGAAAACTGCTAAAACCGAATTACTACCAAATTTTAAAAACGAAGTGGACGGTGAAATACATATAGAAGTGTGCAAAGTTGAGAGATAGTGAACAGTGGTAGCTGCAGCATCTCCAAATGCTGGGTAAGCAAGTGGATAAAGAGCCAAGCAAACCAACAAACGAATAAACAAAAGTTAATGCTTTTGCGCTACAAAGAAAAGTATAGAAAATAAAAGTAGAAAACCAAAATTCAAACTAATAGTATATACATATGTAGTGACGAATAGAAGCAAGGGTGAAATGAGCAGGTGAATAGTGAATTTTAGTTGTCAATGGAGAAATGTGCATACAAAAATTGTATTATCTGGTTACATTAAAAAAAGTGTTAGCGTCTTCGAAAGTTCTACATTTTACTTCCCAGTGCAGCAACTGCTCCGTGACAACCGAATTAATGAAATAAGCGCTGTGTAATTGATTAAGCTAAGAACGTTGAACTTAATTGTCGCACTTTATTTAGAAAACCATAAGACCACCTAAACATATTTCATTTATATGAAGATTAGGGAAAGAAAAATATATTGAGTGTATTCTTAGTAACTCAAATTGAAGAAGTGCAACCCAGTTCAACAAAGTATTTATTGTCAGGTTGTATGTTTAAAACGAGAACGTCATATATGGTAAATCTGAGAGAGGTATATTTTAGCTCAGCATTATCACAGTCCAAAAGCAAAATCAATATAAGTTGTTAACTACTTGAAGTGCTTAAGAAATGAAAAAAATGAATGCTAGCAAGTTGAACACAATAACAATGTTGACACCATTGACAGCTAGTGGAACCAGTACAAAATTGGAACAACACTCCAAGCCCATACTAAGTCCAACACGATCCCTCGACGAAGGTTTTGAAAGTGATCCGGATCGGGTGTCTACCGATTCGGAGCATCAAACAAGTGGAACGAATTGCAGTAGTGGTAGTAGCCATAATAACAATAGTCAGAACAACAAAAGAAATAGTGTTGCAGAAAAGCAAAATAGCGGCTCGACACTAGCTCAGCTGTCGTCAGCCGCCACGGGAGGTCTAACAGCGTCGACAGCATCAGTATCAACGTCACCAATGACAACAATAGCAAGCTTGGCTGCCACATCTAGCGTGTCCACAACGGTAGCTCAAAAGGCAAGCGTGAAAACAGATTTGCATAAACTACGCTTGCTAACAATGGTCGTTCCACCGTCTCAAATTGCACGCCGACAGCCAGCGATTAGTGTGACACCTGCTGCAACTCCTGCAAACTCTAACAACTATCAATATGATGGTGATGACGCGAAATCGACATCCGACACGTCAATGGAAACGTTTCTAAAAGATCAGCATTTGCAGCAGCAGCGACGTGGCTCAGCTGAGTCGGCGCACAATATCAACTATCCGATCGCTGTGACAACATCATCATCTTCAGCTGCTTATGTCCCTAACAATAATAACAAAAATCATTTAGTTATGCAATATCGTACTGGATCCAACTTGGCTGCTCTCACTGCCAATGTGGCACGCGCCAGCGGTGCTTTAACCAAATCCACAAGCAGTGGAAGCGGCTCGCCGTTGCCCCCACAGCGTCTACAATATCAAAAGCAACGTCAACCAATGGTAGCCTCAGCCGCCGGTCATCAGACAGTACACAATCATCGTTACACTACCAGTAGTACTGGCATTGGAGGGGGCATGACTAGTGGATTTCGACGTGCACGCACACGAGCAATGTCTCCCGCAGTAGTAAATAGTCTGTCAAGCAACAGCCATGGCGTCAGCAACAGTACAGGAGCCAGCATTGGTGGTATGCAAGTTCACACTTCACGAAGCCAGCTTCTTTCACGCAACGCCAATATGCGTTCGCATTCGGTTGATGCCATATCACGCCATCGCAATGGATATGACCCGACCAATGCACTTATTCTTAAGCACGATGGCAGTGGCGTCACGAGTTCGGGCAATCATAGCGTCCATAGCGCTGGTGGTTCCAGCAACACCGCCAGCAATACACGCATGATGAACTATAAATACTGTAGTGGGGGTGTTGGAACCGGCACGACGAGCGCTGGTCAAGCTCTGCTAGTACAGCCCATTTCGAGTGCAACTTTGTCGACGAGCACAGCAGCAGTTTCACTTCCAGCCGCTACAACAGTTCTTAATCCAGCGAATGCTGTTGATGCCGCTGCTGCGTTGGTCGCAGCAGCTGGTGGATCACCGGTTATCGCTTCGGCCACCAATAGTCTGTACACGTTCTACCCAGCCGAAGGCAATTTGCAAGTATGGCAGTCAGAGTGCGGCGACCTCACGTACAAATCATCGCGCAATCAGCACACGCACAAGGCACCGGTTTGTTGGACACAATCGATACCAAGGCAAACAAGACGGTAAGTCCCAAGTCTTTTTTTCTGTGTGTGGGGAGTAGTTTGGTAACAAGTGAAGTGGATCATATTGATCTAGAGATAGCCTCCCCACACGATAAGTTATTAGCACGAACGCGTGTAGAAGAGGGCAATATTTCGGACTGTTTTGTGGTTACCCCTATCTTTTTGCGATGCTATGAACGCAATATGGAGTACAAATCGCATTTATAGATAGTAGAAGACAATTTCAGAATTGTTGTTTTTCGTTGTTTGTCAATTTCGGGCTTAGATAAAGTTGAATTGTAGCGCTAGACTGTTTTTTATTCCTATCTATTTAGAGTTTTAATTTATTGCTTTTCTTAAATAAAATGACTATATTCCACCGCTCATATTTTCAATATGCTTTAACATAAGTAAAAAGAAGGTTAATTTTAACAATATTTTATTTTACTACGAGAAAAGTCTAAATTCGAAAAAGGGAAGACAAAAATTGTTATTTTGGTCTATGCGTAGATATCGAAGTTATTCACTAAATGCGAGTAACTTAAGATGTTTGCATATTCTATATCCATATTATTGTACTTTAGATCATTTTGCAAGAGTGTTAATCATATATACTTGTATCATATTCATTCGTTTGCATCGCAAAATAATTTCGAATATATGAATGGAATTGCGAGCAGTTTTCCAAATCACATAGAGACTCAGTTATTTCGAAAGTTATACACATTTTTTGTAGACAGTGGACATAAGGAATTTACATTTTTAACTAATTACTTGGGCGCATATGTAGAAGATTTGGAAGAATTCGTTGTCGCCAGAAATATAAACAAATAAATTTTGCTTCTCTAGCGCTTTAATTTAGTTAGTTTAGCTTAACATTATATTGTAAAGTGAGTATCGCAAAAAAAATATACACATGTTTATTAAAATTGTACTGACCGTTAAAAATCACCTGCTCTTTAAAATTATCAGCTAGGCCCTTCGATTGCTCATCACCTGGATTGCCTTGAAACAAAATATTTCGCTTAGAAATAGTATGCTGTAAGTGTCAACGGATTTTTTCATACTTTTTTATTTAATTTACGTTTGATAATAATTTGTCAACAGCGGAAAGTTAATTTTTTAAAACATATATGTTGCAAAATTGATGAATAGTTAGTACTGTAACGCACCGAAATGTTCAACCAAACTCGTAACACTGGTAATGCTTTACCGCTATAGCGATTACCTTTAAATTGAATCGTAAAGCAGCTATTCAAATTCAATAAAGTTAAAGTCGACAAATCCGCGATATTTTGTTTGTGTTAGTGTTGAAAACTACATACAGTTTTGTAAATTTCACTCACACAATGCACCCAGTTAATTAAATAATTTATTGTGAAATCATACCATCAAATATGGCACACAAAAGACTTTAAAAACGAACTCGTTTGCTGGAACATTACCTGAAATATTCAGCTGTAAAAAGTGATTAAAAAATTAAGCAAAGAAAAATTTGTTTTCAAATTTTATAAATTTTTTTCGTGCAAATTTTTATATTTTCGGTAGGTAGGTTCCTCTTTTTTGTATATCGGATGTCAAATTCCACATACAACGGATGAGACTATTCAGCATTTGTTACTTTTAGTGTGTCAAAAGTTGGATACGTTATCTTGATTCCCACTACACCGCAGAAGACATTAACGACTGTCCGAAAGATACCAACACATGGAATGTCTTTAATATAAACCATCTATAATTTTTTGCTAATTTACATTTCATTGCACATCTCTAAATGTTACTGGTAGCATAAAAAGTTGAACAAAAACTTGTTTTTCTAGATTTAAATTAACTTTATTCTTAGTTCATCAACGTTTTTACCCGCTGCCATTTTTCATACAAATATATTTCTATATTCGCCCAAGTAATTTCCATTTATTTGTCAAAACAAATTTTACTTTTCTTATGTACCAGCTGGTTATGCAAATTTAGATAACCAAACCTATATCGTACAATTATAATGAACCCCAAATAGATATTCTCAACTTGTTTACACGTTTCATTTGTCATTTTGAGATGGCGTGTGTGCAACTTCTGACATTCTCGGTCGACATTTCTTACTCATCTGCTTACTCATCGAGCTGCCACCGAAGACACGTGCTATCTCCGACAAAGTTAGGAACGTAATGCGGGCTGTCGTGAGCAGTATGCATATGCAGCTACATACATTGTTTTGAAATTTATATGGCTAAAACTTTCGTATTTTTCACGACTTTCCAGCAGGTGTTAATAAGTGCGATAAAGAATAAATAGATCATATTTTGTTTGCATAAGGTTGTTTTTTAAAAGACTCAAAACAGTAGTTAGGTATCAATCGTAAGAAGAAATTTCATCACTCAATGCATATACATAGTATGTACGATGTGTGTTCAACGGAAAAGGTGAATTTTGATATTTTGCGGGCTATGTACATTCGATTATCGATATTTTGTTTTTGTTATAATTGGACACATAAGTTTATTATGTGCTTGCATTAGCGGTCAATTTCGATTAGTAGTTTGTTTTTGACAACAGAAAAGGTTAGTTACGTTTTTGTGTGCACTTCGATTATTGACTTTTGAAAGAAATGGATCAAAGAATATGTGAGAAATATAAGAATATATTTTGCGTTAAAAATGGACTAGCTTGCTCCAAGGCACTTGAAATGTTGACTGTGGCATTCGGTGAGCCCACTTTGTGTCAAACAAGTGTTTATAAGTGGTACAAGCGTTTTACAGAACGCCGAAAAGATGTTGATGACGATGAGCATCCTAGAGTTGCGACCATGTCAACAAGCGAAGAAAATATCGAACCAGTGAAAAAAATTGTTCTCGAAAATCGTCGAATCACTATTAAGGAAGTACCAGAGGATGTTGGCACATCAATCGGCTCATGCCATTCAATTTTCTCGAATGTTTTGGGCATTAAACGTATGGCAGCAAAGTTTGTTCCGAAATTGCTAATTTTTGAACAAAAGCAATGTCGCTTAGTATCGCTCAGTAGTTGTTGATTGACATCAACAACGATCCGGGTTTGCTCAAACCACCAGATTTGACTCCCTGCGACTTTTTCCTATTCTCAAAACTGAAGAAACCAATGAAAAGAGATCAAGTCAGAATCGAAGAAAGAGCTGATGGCCATACCGAAAAGCGCATTTCAGAAGTGCTTCAGGGTTAGAAATTGCGTTGGCGCAAGTGTATTGTATTCGAGAGCAAAGTAATCATCCTTATAAGGGGATAAAATAGATACTGATGAATAAATAAGTACTTTTCAAAAGAATTCAAAATTCACCTTTTCCTTTGAACACACCTCGTACATGTATTTTAGCAATTTATGGTTTAACGCAAATAAATGGCCACAGGTACTGCTACATTCGGACGAATTATCATCAGTAAATATCAGCAACTGTCTAATTGGCATAAATTTATACAGTTTTTAGCTAACTGCTCCAACGAATGTGGTAGCTGATATTGTTGTGAAGCAAATGAATACACGCGGTACGTGTATAAATGTACCGTGCGTTTATTTACTATTGCTTTTGTGATATGTGGTGTTGTAGCTGCTTGTTAGGATGCTTACTTACACATAAGTACAATATTTTTTATATGTTTGAATTATAATGGGCTAAGGTTAAAATGTTTACTCACACCGGCTGCACATTCATTTGCACAGATTTTTACATGAGTATGGCATGTATAAAATTTGCTTAGTTCGAGACTATGGTATCGCCACACTCTCAAGGCCTAACATGCACATCAACATCATCATATATGAATATTATTATTAATTGAAATAAATATTTGTTTGCTCCTTTATTCTCGTCCGCCTTGATTTGCCCCCGTTCGCCTTCAAATATCCTGACTCTTTAAAAGCTTGCGCTGTAATTTTTGAGATATAGTTGCTCGCCTGACGTTTATCGATAAAAATGCATCAGTTGCTTCGTGTGTTTTGCTTACTTTCTTTATAATATATAAACGAATTTTTATACTCTCGCAACCTGTTGCTACAGAGTATAATAGTTTTGTTCACCTAACGGTTGTTTGTATCACCTAAAATTAATCGAGTTAGATATAGGGTTATATATATATAAATGATCAGGATGAAGAGACGAGTTGAAATCCGGGTGACTGTCTGTCCGTCCGTCCGTCTGTCCGTCCGTCTGTCCGTCTGTCCGTCCGTCCGTGCAAGCTCTAACTTGAGTAAAAATTGAGATATCTTTATGAAACTTGGTAGACATGTTTCATGGTACCGTGAGACGGTTGGTATTGCAGATGGGCGTAATCGGACCACTGCCACGCCCACAAAACGCCATTAATCAAAAACAAATAACTTGCCATAACTAAGCTCCGCAATAAGATACAAGACTGTTATTTGGTACACAGGATCACATTAGGGAGGGGCATCTGCAGTTAAAATTTTTTTTAAAAAAGTGGGCGTGGTCCCGCCTCTAATAGGTTTAATGTGCATATCTCCTAAACCGCTAATGCTATAATAACAAAATTCACTGGAAGCAAATGTTTTTAGCACTTCTATTGACGGTGTGAAAATAGTTGAAATCGGGTGGCAACTCCGCCCACTCCCCATATAACGGTACTGTTAAAAACTACTAAAAGCGCGATAAATCAAGCACTAAACACGCCAGAGACATTAAATTTTATCTCTGGGATGGTATAAGATGACTTTATAGGAACCGCGTTCAAAATTAGACAGTGGGCGTGGCACAGCCCACTTTTAGGTGAAAACCCATATCTTGAGATCTGCTTAACCGATTTCAACCAAATTCGGTGCATAACGTTCTTTTCATGTTTCTATGTCATAGTGCGAAAATGGGCGAAATCGGATTACAACCACGCCTATTTTCCATATGACACCATTTTAAATACCACTTGATTCTTTCACTTTCCACTATGCAAATCAAGCAACAATGATTATATCGGCGTAAAACTTTGCGTGAATAATACGTTTAAAGTATGCCACCTTGTGACCAAAAATTTTCTAAATCG